AGAATAAAATAAATATCTATGAGTGTGTACTGATATAAGTAAATGATTAAATAAAATAAATGTAGGGAAAGACAACTCTTTCTTAAAGATGAATTATAATTAATAAATGTAGAAGGAAGGAATGAAATAGAAAATCACCATTACAATATCCGAGTAATAATTGTTGTAGGCAAGACCTACCAGTTAATGCTAAAATTAGTGGCCAAAATTTTATTATTTTATTTTTTAAATATATCTTTATTGATTTCAGAGAGAGGAAAGGAGAGGGAGAGAGAGAGAGATAGAAACATCAATGATGAGAGAGCCATTGATCAAGCTCACAACCCGGGCATGTGCCCTGACCGGGAATCGAACCCCGATCGCCTGGATCTTAGTCGACACTCAACCGCTGAGCCACGCCTGGCTGGGCTTTTTATTTTTTATTTTATTTTTTTAGTGGCCAACATTTTAAGGAGAAACAGGATTATTTGTGTAACCTCAAAGTATTTTCCCCAAAATATTTTTTAATTAAGGGAAAACAGTAACTTTATGGTGGAGAAATCTGGCAGACATCACCAAAATCAAGTGATCCAGGTTAATAACATCACCAGTAATGAGTCATGCTGACATCATATAACCCCTGATATCATGCACTAAGGGCACATCACCTCTCTGACATTCTTTCCAAAGATCTGTAAGTTCAATATAACTATGAGAAAACTTCAAAGAAAACCAAATTAATGACATCTACAAAATACCTGACTAGCAGTCTTCCAAAATGTGAAGGAAATGAATACAAGGAAAGACGAGGAACTGCCAGGTTAGAGGAGACGAAGGAAATAAAACACACAAATATAACGTGGGATCCTAGAAAAGGACATTAGTAGAAAAGTCGGTGAAACCCTAATAAAGTCTTTACTTTCGTAGTCATTGTTGATTCTTTAGTTCTGATCACTGTACCAAGGTTACTAAGATGTTAACATTAGCGGCAGCTGAGTGGAGAATGCACAAAAGCTCCGTACTATCCTGAGAACTTATTTGTATATCTAAAATCATCCCCAAAATAATTTTTTTTTAAAAAAGGAAGCTATAAAAAATAGCCTTTATTCCTTGCTTTCAAATGTGTGTATACCTTTCTTGACAGTAAACTCTGTGGATAAAATTTTTATTCTTAAAAAAAAATTATTTTGCTAGAAAAATGAAATGACTGTGTATAAAGAAAAGCTTTAAAGAATGTATCACCTATAGTTTTTAAAAAGAAAACCTCATAGTGGTCAATTAAAGTGTTTTTGCATTATCTCCTGTGAGGACAAGCCTTAGAGGCTCATTTCCAAACTAGTTTCTTTATTGACCTAAGGCTATACCATGGCAATAATCAGGGTCTACAAAATTAAAAAGTTGATTGCTATAGACTGAATGTTTGTGTCACCCCCAAAATTCATGTTAAAATCCTAACTCCCAACATGATGGTATTTGAAGGTAGGGCCTTAGGGAGGTGATTAGGCCCCTCCCTCATAAATGGAATCAGTGTCCTTACAAAAGAGGCCCCAGAGAGCTCCCTCCCCTCTTCCACCATGTGAGGGCACATCGTAAAGACAGTCATCTATGAACCAGAAAACAGGTCCTCACTAGACATCAAATTTGCTAACACCTTGATGTCGAACTTCTCAGCCTCCAGAACAGTGAGAAATAAATTTCCATTGTTTATAAGCTCTCCAGTTATGTTATTTTGTTATAACAGCCTGATAAAATATAAACCATGAATGATATGAACATAAAAATATATATAAAACAAGTCCACCCAAGCCCTTTCTTATTCAGCCATATAAAAGACAAGCAGCATATTCCATTTAAAGAAGGGATGCTGGCCTGGCCAGGCGTGGCTCAGCGGCTGAGCATTGACCTAGGATCCAGGAGACTGAGGTTCGATTCCCAGTCAGGGGCGTGCAGGAGGCAGCCGATCAGTGACAACTCTCTCCTCATTGATGTTTGTCTCTCTCTCTCTCCCTTCTTCTCTCTGAAATCAATAAAGATATATTAAAAAAAAAAGGGGGGGGATTCTGCCCATCTTTAACACACACATATTTAATTTCAATGATACTGTCAAGCTGGCAATGATACACTATTTGATTTTTAAAATAAAATACTTTATGTTGACCTAGAAAAATAAGATTGTATAGAGGGTTACATGGAAAAAAAATATCAACTTGTGAACTTTTCTATAAGTTTATTTTTACTTCTTTTACTTTGAAGTTCCATACTGCAATATAAATCAGGAAAGATTTTTTAAAAAGCTGTCTTAAGATACGATTTTGATAGAAGCAAGAAGCTTTAGCAGTACCTTCTTATACCATCTATCATTTAAAACAGAATTCTTATGCATGAGTCTCAGTCTATGAATCAGAAAGGTACTTTACAAATGCAATTCAGTTTAGACCACAACTAAACACACACAATACTAAGATGACCTCATTCACATATTCAAGCTATCAAGATTCCTATCAATTCTTCTGCAGCTTAATTTTACCAGTCTTTCATAATTCATATGTATAAGCACTCTAATTTTAAATATAAAATGATTTAAATATAAAATGCATGATGGTATAAAACAATGCAAAGATATCCTTACAGATAAATTCCTACATTTCCCACTTTTAAAAAGTATATTTTAAAAGGTTTTAAATTTGTTTTTCAGAACACAAGCAAAGGACTTTTCACTGATACATCTCCTACGGCAAGAGAAACAAAAGAAAAAATAATAACATATGGGACTACATCAAACTAAAAAGCTTCTGCACAGCAAAAGAAAACAGCCTCAAAATACAAGGGAACCCCATGGTCTGGGAAAACATATTTGCCAAGGATGTATCTGATAAGGGGTAATTTCCAAAGTGTACAAAGAACTCATAGTGCTCAGCAAGAGGAAGACAAACAACCCAATTAAGAAATGGGCAAAGGACTTAGACACTTCTCCAAAGAGGACATATGGATGGCCAAGAGACACATGAGAAAATGCTCAACCTCACTAATCATCAGAGAGATGCAAATTAAAACCACAATGAGGTATCACTTCACACCTGTCAGAAAGGCTGCCATCAACAAATCAACAAATGACGTGTGCTGGCGAGGGTATGGAGAAAGGGGAGCCCTAGTACACTGCTGGTGGGAATGCAGACTGGGGCAGCCACTATGGAAAACANGTATGGATGGGCCTGGAGAATATTGTGCTAAGTGAAATAAGCCAGGCAGAAAAGACAAATATCACATGATCTTGCTTATACGTGGAATCTAAAGAACTTAATAAACTGATGAACAGAATAGATTCAATGACATGGAAGCATAGATAAGACTGACGAATGTCAGAGGGAGGGAGGAGGGCGGGTGGGTGGAGGGGGAGAGAGTAACCAAAGAATTTATATGCATATATGCACAACCCAAGGACACAGACAATGGTGGGGAGAGGGACTGGGGAGGAGGAAGGGATGGGGTGGAACAGGTCATTGGGGAGAAAAAGGGACATCTGTAATATTTTAAACAAAAATAAAATTTAAAAAAAAAAAAGAACACAAGCAAAGATACCTCACAGAAGTCTGTTAGGAATCCAAATATATCTCAGGTTATGCATGACATAATAGAGGGTGTTTTTCAAATCAAATAGTTAAGAGATGGAAATTTCAGAAACATTTTATTTTGTTAAAATTACCTAGAATCTAGCAAAAAATGTCTTATAAAGATTTTGGTTTTCAAAACAAGAGAAATTCCTTTATCATGTATTTCATTTGATATTATATTTCATTTGATATTGCTTGGAAATTCTAATTTATTTATCACATTTCAAAAATAAGTTTTTTCTTCAGCCAAGAGATTCCGGAGAAGTGTAGCAAACATTTTATAGACTCTCTAGGTTCAAATTTTAATTTCTCCTTCTATTTTTATGTTTTTTAAACACTCATAATTTTAGGAATCACGAACAGATATATGATTCAATATAAACTTCAGAGATAAATATAATTCCAACTTTAACCACTAAACATAGTTTCATATCAGAATGTTTTCATTTAAAACATCATACACTCTAAACCACTATGTTACTAGGACAGATATTAAAAACACATAATCATTACTCTCAAATTATTACTAGTTCTGTTTAAATTTACCAAGAAAGACAAGCTATAAATACAATGGTATGAAAATTTTTTCAGAGTAAAAACAAGCTTGATCTTTATCATATAAACTTTAATTTTTGAAAATCTAAGCAAAATAAAGACTTCTACTTAGAAATAACACTTGGTATTTAGCTTCTCACAGCATTGTCTTATTTGTAAAATCAATTAGTTCAGAAAATTAATACCTCTTCCCAAGAAATAATACAGATCCTTTACTTTTCACCTTTTTTCTCCACTCTCTCAGGCTTAGCCTCCTGTGGCAGCTGTAGGGGTAGGAGCACACCTACTCAAATGCATATTCAAATCTTCAATTAGTCTTCATACATGACAACAACTTACTGACAACTAAAAATTGGTTAGCTCTCACTTCACATATTATAATTATACAGCATAGTAAGACAGCCTGATTTAATCACCTAGGTCAAGGGTCTGCAAAATTTTCTTAAAGGGCCAGATTTTAGACTTGCAGGCCAGACACTGTTGCAACTAATAAACTTTGCCACTGTAGTGCTAAGTCAGCCATAGACAACATGTAATTAATGGGAGGACTATGTTCCACTAACCCTTTATTTACCAAAACAGGTGACTGGCTTGTAGGCCATAGCTTGTCCACTCCTGCACTAGGCAAACAGCTCTGATTATCAATATATAACACCTTCAGTAAACATAATCATATATTCCCCTTACATCTGGAAGTTGTTACATGGAACATTAGCTATTCAAATCATAAAGGAACCATGAAAATATTTTCTTAGGTCATAATCTCAGGTAGATTGAAAAGTATTAATACAGCACACATTAAAATATAAGTTTGAAAATGTAAGGATATAATTAAATTTTATTAAACAATCTTACCTTAATCAAATGAAAGAATCTAAAGTCTAGTACATGTCTGGTTTCAAATTCAAAATATTTTTTGATCAAAACTTCAGTTTCTTGTGAAATTACTGGAGAAACAAAATTAAAAACATTTTAAGTCAGGTTCCAGTACCAGATAAAATGGGGTAATCACACTCCAACCTGTCTCTCTGAGTGAATGTAGCTACAAGATTTGGAGAGAACGCATGGAGCACCTACTTGAGGACTCTGAAAAGTAAACCACAGCAAGCAGATTGGGTAAGACCAGAATTTGAAGTATCACTGAAAGAGCATTTTGTTTCCCACTGGCTTCTTCCAGCCTGAACTTAATATGGCTCCACCCAGAAGTATGTATTAGCACAGAGAAAGCTTCAGAAACCTAGTGCTGGCTCTAGGAAAGGGAAAGGGATCTCCTAACACAGAAAGTGTGGAAATCCCTCCCCTGTTTTTTCTCCATTCTCTCAACCTTAGCCTCTTGGTGGCAGCTGTGGCAATAGAAGCCATCAGGGCCCTAAGACTCTGACAGAGGGGAACACCTTCCTTCTGATTGGAGTAGCTGTGACCCCAAGAGAATGTGGTAAAGCCCTGTTGCTTTTTTCCCTCCTTCTGTCCTCCTGCCGCTTGGCCCTAGATATGGGCACAGCTGTAGATAATGCACATTGGAGAGGGATAAATGAAGCTCTACCTTTCTGGTCAGAGAATGGAAAAAGGGAGCCCCAGCAAATCAGAAATTACTGAGAGACCACAGAGAAGGGGGAGCTTGGGAAAGCAACACTTCAAAGTTGTTTATGAACTGCTGGGCTTACACTCAAGCAGTACATGTGTGGATTTGACCCAAACAAACATAAATAGACTTTGAGACTTGAACTATGAGACAGACCACTACCAAGTTCCAGACTGGCCAATGGGTGGTCCACATGTGGGACAGACCCAAACAGCATGGCAGAGTCTTTGAAAATTGAACTGATGTTGTAACCACTACCCACAGGAACATACATTCTGAACCTGACTGGGCTGTGATAGTTTACTAAACAAATATATCAACATTATGCATAGGATTAAAACAAGACCCAAAGTCTCATAACATAGGACAAGATGTCCAGGATAAAACCCAAAATTACTTGACATAAGAAGAATCAGGAAAATCTCAGCTTGCATGGGAAAAGATGCCTACACTAAGAAAACACAGATACTCAAAGGAATAAACTATTTGATTCATGCAATGACATGGATAAATCTTAAGTGCATTTTGCTAAATCTTGAAAGAAGTCAGCTCCAAAAAGCTACACATTGTATTACTGCATTCATTACAACACACTGGAAAAGGCAAAACTAAAGGAAATAAAAACAAATTGTCAGGGATTGGAGTATAGAGAAATGGCTGACTACAAAGCAGACACACAGATGCAATATTGGGATTTATAAGAAACATGTATTTGGCCATTGAGAAGACTGAATATATTTTTCACATATATTTGGTCTTCATCCACAGCTCTCCAAACCCTTGGAATTTCTCGAGTGATAAGAGCAATGAGAGCATCCTTTGTTATAATATTTGGTTTCTTGTCCTCGGTTCCTATAAATAATTCAGAGTCAGGAAGGTGAACTGGGTGTCTTATTACTCATAACAAGCCGCTGTCCAGCATACTGGGGTTATATGAATGAGGTGACTTTTGGAAAGCACCTAGGATGGGGGCTAGTTGCCAGGAGAATCAACTTTGTGATAAGAAAGCTGGAACTTTCAGTCCCCTAACCTCACCCCTGACATTCAGGGAAGAAAGAGAGGCTGGAGGTTGAATCAATCACCAACGTCAATGGGCAATGATTTAATCAATCATGCTTACACAATGAAGCCTCCATAAAATCCCGACAGGAGTGGTCTCAAAGAGCTTCCAGGTTGGTGAACACGTGAAAATTTGGGGAGAGTGGTGGGTTCGGGGAGGGCATGAAAGCTCCACACCCTTTCCCTATACCTTGGCCTTATACATCTCTTGTATCTGGATATTTATGTCCTTTTATAAACCAGCAACCTAGTAAGTAATGAGTTTCTTTGAGTTCTGTGAGCTGCTCTAGCAAATTAATCAAACCCAAAGGGTTAGGGGTGCCAATGAAATCTCCAATTTACAGTTGGTCGGTCAGAAGCACAGGCGATAACCTGGACTTTGGATTGGCATCTGAAGTAGCGGGGGCAGGGGAGAGCAGTCTGGTGGGACTGAGTCCTTAATCTGAGGAATCTGATGCTATCTCTGGATAGATAGTGTTAAGAATTGAGTTGAATTGTAGGACACCCAGCTGATGTCTGAGAATTGCTTGTTGGTGTGGCGGCCCCCTGCCATACACACATTGTAATTGGCTTCAGAACCTTTTAACAGAATTTTTAGATTGATGAACTTGTCTGTATATACAAAGGTAGTGGACAATGGCCCTGTGCATTTGTCAAAACCCATGTAGAATCATACATTACAAAGAGAGAACTTTAATGTATGCAAATTTTTAAAAAATCAACTAAGATGCTGGGGGGGATTTCAAGATAGAATACAGTCTGTGACAAATGAATCTGACTGTACTATAAATGAATAGCATAACCCCACTGAAGGGAGTAGGGGGAAATTGAGCTGACCTAAGTAAATTTGGAAAATAGTGTTTTGAATGGAAACTTTAAGGCTAAATATAAAAGAACCTGCACATAAACACTGTACTCTAGCTGGTAAATATATTTCTGGTGCTGGTACTAGTTAACAACTCCGAACTTGCTTTACATGTATACTGGGGTGGAACAAGTAAGTAAATAAATGACTGAAGCCAGTTTTCTCACTGTCAGAGAGAAGTTACAGATAAGCCAGGGGGAAAAGGCTAGAATGAACCTTGTGGTACTGGATTAGTCACAGACATTGGTATGAACATAACACATATACTGCTTAATATGCAATCGGATGAATAAATACAGAAATAATTACAGATATGTACAGATACATGGGTTAGCAGATGTATAATTCCTAGCTCTGTTCTCTGAGAAGGCCTAGAAACAGTGATACATCAACAGCAAGGAGTACACCCAGCACCTAGACATTGGTCTCTACACACAATTCTCCAATACAAGAGACCAGAGCTCCTTAGAGAAATGACTGATTTTAATAGTAGGGTGCAGAAAATACAAGATGAGCCTGGAGTTATTTTACAGCGCCAGGAATCAGGAACTCAAGAAAGGGAAGGATGAGGCCATGTAAAAGGGACACAGGGGTCAACACTGGAATAATTTTAGCAACAAAATAAATAACATAGTATTCAACTACAAGCTAATGTATAAAATAAGTACACATACTGATGTAAAGGAATGAATGCATGAAAGAATGAATCAGTGAAGAATGGAAGAGAAGGGACAAACTTCCTTATAGAAGAATTTCTAATAATATATACAGAGAGATATACCCCATTCATAAAATGTAGTACAATCACCCACCCCCTTGAGTGTAGGCTGGAATTAGTGACTCACTTCCAAAGAATAGAGTACAGAAGACAAAAATAACAACTTTACAGTGGAGGGACCTAGCAAACATTAAGGTAATGATCACTCCACAGGGAGTGATGTTATCATTAACTCCCTGACATGATGTAACAAAATTCTTCTCTAAAACTCTTAACATTAGTCTAATAATAAAAACATCAGACAAACACAAATTGAGGGACGTTCTACAAAATANAACATCAGACAAACACAAATTGAGGGACATTCTACAAAATATCTGACGAGTACTCAAAACTATCAAGGTCACACAAAAAACAAAGACTAAGAAACTGACACAGACTATAGGAGACATAATAAATGCGATGTAGAACCTTGTATAGGATCCTGGAACAGAAAAAGACGACTGGTGGAAAGTCTGGCAAAATCCAAGTTTAGTATTTGGAGTTTGGTTAATGTAAGATACCAATGGTGGTTTCTTGGCTTTGACAAATGTACTTAGTCTTGTAAGATACTATTATGGGAAGCTGTGTGAGGGACATACAGGAACTCTGTATTATCTGTGCAACTTTTCTATAAATCTATAATTATTCCAAAATAAAAGTTTCTATTATTTTTTTATTTTTAAAAAATTATTGATTTCAGAAAGAGGAAAGGAGGGGGAGAGAGAGAGACAGAAACATCAATGATGACAGAGTCATTGATCGGCTGCCTAGCCAGCAACCCGGGCATGTGCCCTGACTGGGAATCGAACCCCAATCTCCTGGATCCTAGGTCGATGCTCAACTGCTGAGCCACTCCCGGCCGGGCTCTATTATTTTTAAAAATGGACAAAAGACTTGAACAGACCCTTCAGCAAAGAGGATATATGTATGGCAAAAAAGCACATGGCAATATGTTCAACATCATTAGCTATTTGGAAAATGCAAATTAAAACCATTATCAGATATCACTGCAAACCTATTAGAATGGCTAAAATTAAAAAGACTGACCATACCAAGTACTGACAAATAGGCAGAATTAGAGCTATCATACATTGCTGATGAGAATACAAAATGGTACAGCCACTTTAGAAAACAGTTTGGCAACTTCTTATAAAGTTAAATTATATACTTATCATCTGATTTATCAATCCCACTACTATGTATTTACCCAAGAGAAACGAAGACTCACATTCACACAAAAGTCTGTACACCAATGTTTATAACTTCTCTATTCAAATTACTAAAACCTTGAAAAACTCAAAGTCCTTCAAAGAATGAATGGATAAACAAACTGTGGTACATCCATACAACTGAATACTACTCAGCAATGAAAAGTAATCTTAAGGCATTATGCTAACAGTCTCAAATGGCTACATACTATATAATTCTATCTAATGATTGTTTTTGAAAAAACAACTAAAATGACAGAGTGGTAGTCAAGATTTACTAATGGGTGGGGAAGGTACAACTATAAAGGGACAGGGATAGCATGAAGGAATTTCATGAATTAATCAAACTGCCTGGATACTGACTGTGATGACAGTTACATGAATCTACAGACATGTTAAAATTCATCAACTATGCACATAAAAAGTCAATTTTACTGCATGTTCATTAAAAAAATAAATTTATGATACCTAAA